TCGAAATATGGTACTCATTTGGATGTTCATCACCATGTTTTATCACGAGATTGTGAACTATACAAACGTGAAGTTAGATTTATTTCAGAACATATACGTTTAGTGGAATGATTTATTTTGGATTTTAAGGGTTAGAACTGCGATTGGGTTGTTTTATTATATTTTATACTGATCATTATCTTATGGTGTATAATTTTTTGTTTTTTATTATTAGCTATTGTACTGTGTCCTTGATTATGAAAGTGCTGAACATAAACTTGAATCACTTTGCGGTGGCAGCTTGCCAATTGGCTGCTGTTGAGGATATTTTGGAACAGAAGTTTGACTTGATAACTGTCCAGGAGCCCTATTATGTAAATACAGAAATCCCACATTTAAAAAAGGGTTGGAGAGCGGTGCATGATGTAAGGGGAAGATCTGCCATAATTGTTACCAAAGAAGAGATTGAATTTATTATAGATTATAAAACAAATGAGATAGTAGCCATCTCCTTGAGAATGGAGAACTTTACAATGGGTGTTGTGTCGGTATACTTCTCTCCCTGCGGAAAACTTGAATTTACATTTGACAAGACTTGAAGACGTTTTGAACAAGTATACATTTTATTTTATTGCTGGAGATTTTAATTCGAAACATTTTAATTGGGGTTCTAGGACTGTGGATGATAGGGGTGTTTTAACCATGGATTTTTTAATACAGAATAATATTATTTTATATAATCAATCAGACTCATTACCAACTTTTGTTTCCGCAGTAGGGGAAGGTTGGACAGACTTGATTCTCAGTTCTGCCTCTCTCTCCCCGTTTCGTATTGAACTCAAGATACATGAAGAGGAGAGTCTTAGCGACCATAGATATGTTGCTGTTGATATTGAAGATGTTCAACCTGTGAGACATGAGAGTACTGTTTTTACAAAAATCTTGTTAGAATAAATAAATTTTGTAAAATACTTAAACCAGATATGGAATTAATGACGGATAGACTGAGATCAATAGATGATGAAAATAATTTGGAAAATTTTGTGGATGACTTTGAAAGGTTGATTGTCCAGAGGGCTAAGAGGTACCTGACTATACGTGGAAATAAGGTCAAGAAAAACTATTGGTGGAATACGAGTTTGCAAAAAATGAAGCGACGGACGAAAGCATTGAGAAAGAGTTTTCAGTTCAGAGATATTGATGAAGAAACAAGAAATAAGAGAAAAGTTTTATATAAAAGAGAGATGGCACTTTATAGAAAGCATATTAAGAAGAGTAAATATGAAAGTAAAATTAAACATTTTTTGGAAAATAAGATATATCATGACTGTTACTTTCGTTTTGCCCAGTTAATAGTAAACACTAAACTTTGAATGTTTTAGAAAATTATACCTTTGCTTACTAAAATATATACATATCATATTTAAAACATAAATTTATGAAAGTATGTCTTTTTTAAACATGAGTCACAGAAAAATCAGACTGCTTAAGCAATAATTTTAAACTAATGATGTGAATCAAGAACGAGAGTTTGATATGAAAATAATGGTTAATGCTGGCGCAAATTCCCTCAGATTTTTATAGACTTTCCGTTCTCTCCTTAATAATTTTCAGCCATTTCTGCCTGTACATAATGGTTACTATTAAAAGAGAACGTTACAATCATCAGTAAATATGAAAATAAAACATAAAATGATGATATTAACAGCGTATCAGAAGAAACATCTCGTTGAACTCTTTGAAATATACTTAAACACGATATGTTCTAACTTGTTCCCTACATTCATGCACATGAGGAGGTTTTTCTCTTCTTTTTTATGCCATAAATATAAAATTGGACGAATAACGTTTACTGCGAACGTTATTCCGAATTTACTATGTTATTCCCAATCCGTATTTCGAAGAGTGTACACAAACAGTTCACTCAGATTCGTGATACGATTTTTTTACGGCACGGCAAAAATGATGCATTTCAAAGGAGCGATTTTAGATTTACGACAGCTATATAGCAGGAATTTACTCCGATGGGGGGGGGGGAAAGAATTGAACGCTTTCAGAATTTACAATGCCCAGAGGGACTTTATTTAGCGTTTTGTATGTTACCTTTATTTATTAGATATCACGTTCTTCTCATTTATATCATAAAATTCATTCAATAACGATATAGCAAAATAATTTAAAAAGCGCACATCTTTAGATTTTCGGATACACAGTCTCGCGCGCTGGAGATAATTTTTTTTCGTACATTGTTGCCATTGCTCGCTTTGAATTCGTTGATTTTCTCAATCGAAACCTCATAAATGCTTTACAAAATATGAAATAGATAAAACAAATTCTCGGTTTCAAAATATGGGCTTCTGTTTCGGTGGAGGCGTATGTTATTCAGAATTTGATTGCTCTAGGTACCGTTGTTTTATCACAATGCGAGAAACATACATACTTTTATGCAGATTCTTCATTATTTAATTTCTTTAATTATAATACATGGGATAATATTTGAGGGTAACAATCTGAAAAGTTAAACGCCGTTTATAATGAAACACCTCAAAATGTCAAAATGAAATTAATAGCCGTTTGGGCTAAAAATACTTCAAATACGTGGCGAGCGTACTCATGACAATAAGCCTTAACGTATCATTCTCTAATAATTGTTAATTAAAGAATTTTATTTTTCGCTTTTTTTCTCAATCCATTGGTTATATTTTATGCAATCATTTTTTCAAAACATTTAATATGAAATTAACCTAAGGATTTTGTAACGAAGATTGCCGTTCTTATATACGTCATGAATTTCACGTGCTCTATGAATAATTATTGTAGTAAATATAATAAATTATTAATAAATAATCATTATAGAAATAAATTCAGTGACCTAAAAAAGCGTGTTTATATATCTCATCATAGAAATCGAAGCTTTTTTTTAATTTTCGAATTCTATGATGAGCTGCCTTTGACCCCAAACATCGTCATAAATTAAGACACAATAACTAATTCAGAAGTCAAACAACAAAAATCAGCGTTATATTTTCAAAATTTTCACAGGACTAGTTTCGATGGTTTTACCGAACCACCATCCTCAGCTGCAAAACCGCAAATGAACAAGATAGGAAATAGTGATTAGATAAGATAAGAAAGCCTGGACAAGAATAAGCAAGTGGCGCGATCTGTTGGTGAAACCAGAACTAAAACATAATTTCTTTAAAAGCCGAAGGCAAGATTTGGATTGGAATTAGGATCGTTAACTAGAACAGAAAGATTTTTTTTTGAATGTGAAATGCCTCTAGAAAATCCAGTTCTCCAATGGAAGATGTTTTTTGAATAATTTTTTGGCAGCAGAAAAATTGAAAGTGTGATTTTCGGACCAACAATGTTGAGCAACAGAAGACTTCTGTGTTTCCTTTTTTTCTAACATATGCCTCATGTTCCTTGACGCGAAATTTTAAGGCTCTCTTAGTTTGGCCAATGTAAATTAAACCACACTGGCAAGGAATCCTATAAATAACCCAGGAATTCATATCCGGAATGGGGTCCTTGAGTATAGAAGTTCGGAATTTTATTGATGGGAGAATAAAAACAACCCGAAAGTTAAATTTTTGCAAAATATGTGCAACTTTATAGCTAATTGATGGAAAGAAGGGAATGACAACAGAATTTTTATAATCTCCTAAAATAAGAGTGTGGCTTTTAGTGTGTGTTGAGATGAGAATTTTTTAACTGCTTGATTAATAATGTTGGGTGAAAAGCCCCTGTCAATAGCTATTGCTTTTAAATAATTTAGTTCTTCATCAAGGGCTAGTTTGGAGGAGCAAACTTGAAGAGCACGGAAAACATAGGAATAAAATGAAGCTAACTTTTGTTTAGTCGGATGACATGATTTAAAGTGTGGTGGAAGGCAAACCGATGAAGGTTTACGGTAAACCGTAGTACTGAAGTTTGATGTGTTACGTGTGACCAGAATGTCGAAAAACGGAAGAGAATTGCAAGTCTCAAGTTCAAAAGTGAACTGAATAGCAGGATCAATAGAATTCACTTTTGAAAGAACTTTATTTAAATCATCTTTAATACCTCCAAACAGGGTACAAGTATCGTCTACGTAGCGGAACCATGCCGGAAAGTTTAAGTATCGTCATAAGTATCGTCATCGGGAAGAATTAGTATCGTCATAAATTCCAATTTGTTTGCGAATTTCATCTCGTCTGGCTATCTGATAATTTATTTTCCGAAATATAACTTCTAGAGACATTGGAACTTATTTGGAAGCAGCAGAAGTGAAAAATGAGCAACCGCTTCGCCGGGAAGCGAACCGCGGAACTCTGGAACACGCGTCCAGCGTACAGATCACCACACCACGAAGACATGCCAAGAAGGCTGGAGAAATACCTTATATACTCCCCTTTTAAAGGACGACTGTGGTTTTAGGGAACCCAATCGCCAAATCCTGGGTGAGGAGTATCATCATCCAACACTCTTTTAGTTCGGGCGCCACTCTAGAGACATTAGGACTTTTTCGGAAGCAGGGGAAGCGAAAAATGAGCAACCGCTTTCACCAGGAATCGAACCATGGACCTCTGGAGTACGCGCACAGCGTGCAGACCACCACACCACGAAGGCATACCAAGAAGGTGGGAGGAATACCTTATAAACTATAGGGTAAAAGTTCTTCCAAAAACAGTAACTACTTTATAAAATAAAAATACAAAACTAGATAAAAAGAACAGGTTCACACTTCTAAAAAATATGAAGCAATTAACAAAAATGAAATTAGGTTGACATCTGGAATAACGAAACATTATGTAATGGAAGATCACGGAAAATTTCAATGGGGGTAAAGAAATGTCAAAATTAGTTACTTTAATATCTTTTAACCAAAAACAAAGGAACACCTGCCTCACAGCTGGTGTGCCTGTGCTAATGTTAAAAGATGTGTCATTTTGAAAATGGCTAACAAAATCATCTGATATTGTACCTCGTGTTTGTTTCTTATTGGAGCATGTCAAGTATGATGTGTATACTGTACCATTGCAACAATTAACGTAATATTCGGTGAACTCATCGACGTGTACTTATTATTAACAACAAGTGGCTTAACAAGAACTCCGGTACCAAATTCAAGAAAGAAAATCCGTAGACCTTTGCATTAAGTGAGATATTTTCCTTGTATTAACATCTTAAAATTTTCCTTTATCATAAAAAATTACTTTATACCGAATACGCAGTGTATTTTTATCTTTCTTAATGTACTGTATATTTAATGTAATTTTTGCGTTTTGTTTAATGTTCGAAAGAATTCATAACCGCAGAAATTTCAAGGGAAGAAAAAAATATAACGAAATACTGAATTCATTCATTTTAATTTTAAACATAATAAGTAATCATATATATATATATGATTACTTAGGCTAGGTGGAAAAGTTACTATCAAAAATCATCAAATTACATTAATTAATAAATTTGTTCTTTAGATTAAATATATTGAAAACTCAGGTAAATTGTTGATAGCATTTTTCGGCTAAATATGATTATTTGACTTATTACTCTTTCTAATGACTTTTTAAACTGTTAAACAAGATTTTGCTTTAACCGTTAACTCAAAATTAATCGAGATTTGAACTAATTATGCAAATGGTTGCCTAATACTACCTCAATTAATCGGGACTTAGCTACATTTTCCGTTTTTCTCAGCTTGTCTACATTATTAGAGTATTTAATTCTCAAATTTCGGTTTTTATAGTTCTGCGAAAAACTCATCTTAGAAGCCTTCGAAACACACTTCTATTTCTTTTATATTATAAAAAAATCTTAACTAAATTTAAAAAAAATAGGAGATAGCGTTTTCACTGCTTGCTTGGAGGTACTTTTTTAAAAACTACTCATGCGATTTTGTAAAACGTGTCAGTTTGCAAAGTTTGAGTCATAAAGTCGAAATATGCAAGAAAATTGGTATGTCATATCAGAAAAAATCCGGTTTTGTGCCTAAATACTTCTGTTAGAACAACGCTATACATAAATATAATAAGTCGCCCTTTCTTTTAGGGGCCCACCAGCGGCCGAGCGGTAACGTCGCTGAACACTGGTAGTTCGGTCCGAGGTTCGAATCCCGCGAACGGGCTGGCTGCATGGACGTTCGTGGTTTTCCCCATGTGTAACGTGTATACGAGCCAGTTTCCCTTAGAAAGTGAAAGTCCTCCACGAAGGCGTCCTTCCCCTTAAGACAGATAGCTCTCGAGGCTTTACTGTAATTAAAATAACCTAAAGTAACCTAAGCTATTATAAGTTTCATACATTAATTAGAATGCACCACTAGGGTAGACACTTTTGAGAGAGGAATGACACTTTGTCACGATGTGAGAAGAACGGAATGGAATGGAAAGGGTGAGAAGCCACTTCATTAGTTCCTTGCCTGAAAAGAGAGCGTTTCACTGGTGCTGAAACTAATACCTAAGTTAATAATAAATAGCTTTAAATTAATACCTAAGTTAATAATAAATATCCTTAAATTAATACCCAAGTTAATAATAAATATCCTGAAATTAATACATAAGTTAATAATAAATATCCTGAAACTAATACCTAAGTTAATAATAAATATCCTGAAATTAATAAACAACCATTTGTTTTCGGTTTCTGTTTCAACAGTTAATCTGAATATCTATGCAAGTTTTTACAGAAACTGTACAACTTAAAATGTGTCAGCAGGAATGGAGTTAACGAAACTTTCTTTCGATTACTAACCCTAAAATTTAAAAGGTTAGTTGCTTGCCCTGCCAGGTACCTAAAATAGTTATTATAAAAAGGAAGAAACAATAATGAATTTAACGTGTCCTGGTAGTGCCATTTCACGAGTCCAACAAGTAACTGATAATAAAAGAGACGAAGATTTCTTGTTTTTAAATCGCTTTTATTTTCCTTATTCTATAACAAATATATTAAATCTGAAAAAAAGAAATTAAATATATTTACATTTTTCAGATGACAACACACTAGCGCGGGGAGATAAAAATATTTTATTTCTGGCAGCTGCAAAATATTTGTTTTGCTTTATGTCCTTTATACCCTATTCAATTTCCCCCACTTCACAGATCTGAACTTACACTGCTTGACAGGAAAAAAAAGTTGACGATACAAAAGCAAACTCGTTGCCTTATAAATGTCTGTAATTGTACACATGTGCAAGTTATGAAAATAGTCATATATGCAAACTAATCAGACAATAGCACATAAGATATAAGCATCAAACACGCGAAGCCACCAATTTACGCTGCGTCACGTCTATAATATGCGAGATTTTAGGCTCTTTTCGAAGTTAGTGAACGAAAAGTACATTGTCTTTCTTAACAGAGGCAACCAGATGTGTTTACGATTAGCTTAATATTATGCCTTCGTACTGCTGGTCGGCCTTTGCGCCATATCGCAGAGGATAAGTAGGTTGACGTCACGATTATTGGTCAAATTTCTCGACAATATGTGTACGGGTAAATGTGTAGCGTGGTAGATGATCTAGAGCAAGGAGATGGTCAACGATTCTGGCTCATCCGCGGTTGCGCATCCCGTAATAATAGAAGAAGGTAATTTTCTGGCTTTTAATAGATTACATATGAATACTGAAAGTTTACAATCAGAAAAAAAAAAAAAAAAAGTTAAAAACACCTTGAAACGGCTATCATATCTACCAACTAACCTCAACATTTCTGGGAAATTTCATTTTCAGGATACCTGATTGGCAGAAATTATTTCTTTGTGGTAAAGCAATGAGGGATACATAAGTGAAACATTTTCATCTCGATTGTAAAATTTCACTCGTAGTTAGCCGAGATATCGGTTTTCGGGAAAACATGTTTCGGCTAGAAACGCACCAATAGCAAGGGCAAGGAGAAGTTCGTTTACCGGAAAACATCGTTATATGTGATGACGACGAAGACGAAGAACGTGAGTTTCGCTCAATGATTGGCAAAAGAGAAAAATTGTTCAAGATAGAAGTTAACGCGGTTTGTCGAAGAAGTGCATCATATAATTGCATTTAACAGAAGAGGAGTTCAGAAAATATGGTAGGGAAAACTTATTCATAACCAATAAAAAAACTAATAGGGGGGAGAATATAAACAAGAAAAATGTACTAATGTAAATTAAATTATACCATAGCAAGAGGAAGGTGATTGCTAAAATCACAGTTGTAGTCAAAATTAAATTTATCATAGAAATTGTAGAATTTTGTATTTTAGTAAGTGGTTTTTGCTATGAGAGTTCGAGGACGCTATATGGTTTTATAGACGAGTAATTTATTAAATGTAAATACAATTTTTTATATAGAGATAATATTTAGAGCAATTGACGTTCTCTCAGGAATGGGCGACAGAGCGCCGCATAAGACGTGGCGATCCATCATCAATAACTGGAAACATTTTTCGAGGCGTACATTATGTTTCTACTAATCTAATATTAACGCCAGTAGTTTGGTTATGATTGGCTAATGTAGATTTGGTGTCTAGCTTCCTTTAAGAAGGCACACAGTCACTGCGAGCCATTGTCATGAACATCTACAATGATGTCGCATTAGAGTTACGTAAAATGCCGAATTGGATAGTGCAATATTGAGCAGGGAATATTGCTTTACGGCTGAAGACCATTGTGTGATCGTGGAGAGGCTGCGTTGCTCTGGTTGGATGCTTATATCATTTTCGACCGATGCCTGGTCCGATAACTCCTGATAACACACTTGGCGCACCATAAATCCACTGCAAGGTGTGAAATTGCTGCTTCCATGCCGATTCGATTGCCAAGAGATCCCTGATCTCTTGGCAGTCTAATATTTGGGGAAAATGAATGGATGTCGGTTGAGTACCACTCCTCTTCAATAAAGCTCAGCTAAACTGGAGTCACATGAATAAAGTATGGAGCACGGTGCCATAGGACATGTTGTTCTATGCAATGGCGTGTTGAATAAAGTATTACTTCAAACTAAAGCAGCAACATTTTTCGGATGTCTGCGAGTCTGAAAATAAAATCATTCGTTAGGCTCTTAGTTATCTTTCGAAGTATAAAGATAAGTTTTCCAATTATTCTTTTATGGTACGGCCTTTTTCTGTGTCAGGCTGTGTATTTATTTCTTCATACTCATCATATTTATTTATAAGAATAAAACAAACAGGGAAACTGAAAGGTTCGTTATAGTTACTCAACTTAGAGATTCAAAGTTTCAAAACCTAAGATTTTCCTGTCAGTCTGAACTCCATTTACAGAGTCTCTAATACGATATTTTAGTTATAACGGTAGCTTCCAACTCATCGATGTACATTTTGTCTCTAGAGTTGTAGCTAAAATGAAGAATCTAATCAAAGGAAATAGAGGAAACATTGCCTAAGTACCCCTTTTGAGGAGCTGCTCTGTTTCTATCCGAAGATAAAATACATGTCTACTACCTCTGCTTTCGTTTAGTGATGTTCGAAATCTTCATGGGAAATGAAGAATCATTTCATTGTGCCATTTTCGCATACACGTGCTATTAAAAAATCTGTTTGTTTCAATCCTCTTTTCTAGTTTTGCCAGATATTTCAAAATTTTTCTGTACTACCAACCCATATGCCATATGCCATATGCCATGTGCTTCTAATTCAAACGTCAACTCTTTTAAACATATAAATACGAATTACGCATGATAATTTTCGTTATCTGTTATACTTTTAGAATTCTTATGATGAAGAAGATTTTGATTCTGGCGCTACCGCTATTTTTGTGCATGTTGGTACATTCACGGAAGGAAGCAAACTATCTTTCACACCTCCAGTTCCCCGTGAGTATATTACCTTATTTTACTGCAATTTAAATTTACCGATGTATGACATTTAAATTACGGATTTAATTCTAAAAGTTGTTTTAAGCTACATTTCGCACTTTATATTACCATTTTATAAAATGGCACAGAGAAATCAACCTCATTAGCAATACATATTTCATATTAAAATGAAGAAAACTCGAGACTTTTCAAACAGATTTGCAGAATGATAAATGAGTATTACTCATATAATAGTAACAAAGTTCTTCAAACTCCAAGTCACTGCCATCTGTAATAAAAGCATTAAAAATGTGTTTTTCCTGGAATTTAAATTTCTGAGAAATTTTGAGAAACATTTCCTCTTCTTCATTAAGATTTTCGTCTTGATTTGTTAAATATTTATCAGTCTTCAGTATATTTCACAGTTCGGAGTGGACATTAACTCAATAGAAATAATTTATTATTTTTTTCATACAGCTGTATTCTGTGTTGCCTTCAAGAAGCGAAGTGTTGTGAGGATATTCATTTAGATTTTTTAATCCTTTCCAAAAACGATTTTTCTGAAAGAAACCTTTTTTTTTTATTTTATTTATTTTTTTAAAAATTTCAGCCTCTTGATAAAGAATCTTAGGAATCGAAATACTGAAATAATAATAAAAAATGAAGAGTTTCTTTGGTTTCCAAAGTAGAAAATTTATTGCCAGCTGCAGTAGATGAAATTTAGTTCAGCAGTATATAAAATCACTGCTGTTACGATGATGAATGCAGTAGGAAATGTAGAGTTTGACTAAACGTTGGTGGCGAGCACTCGTTTAAGTTTTATAAGGAATTTTGAACTTCCGCGCTGTAAATGATAAGGCATCCGGCTGGCTACTCAGAAGATCCGTGGTTGGAATCACGGCCAGAGTATACCTAACTTTTCCTGTTTTTCGCTTCAAAACACCTGATAGCTTTATAAGGCTCCCCCTCGACTAAAATGGTAATTCGTCGCCAACTGCATTTGGCGACTGGGTCTCCTTCCTCCTCAATCAACCTTTATGGGGAATAAGATATTTTTGTCTTCCGTAATGCATTTCCTCATGGTACACCTGGTAACATGTCCAGTTAGAAATGGGTCTAGAGCTTTTTTCGGCGTCGCCATTTCACCGTGGTCGTTTCGCTGTTTCGCCGTCAAGACATATTTTTCTTTACATGACTGTATTTTATCTTGCCGTATCATACTCGTATTAAATTTATTTAATTTAATAATTCTGTTTATCTTTTACTTTTTGTATACTTAATAAAGGTTGCTTTTAATATATATAGTTATTTACAAGTATGAGTGTTATGTTCACCTCTTGTGGAATGGGCTGGAAATCAAAACTCTACACAATAAATATCATAAATATTTACTTTTTCTCCAACTTACAAACTGGAAACACAGCACATTTATTACATCTTTAGAACACAATTACAATAAAAATAATCTCGTGTTACCCCATCTCTGAAACACAATCACAGAAAACTTCATTCATTTAAAAGTAGAAATAAATTATTTTTAGCTTTTTACGAATAGCAAGCAATGGATGGCGGAACACACTAGGCCCCATGACCCCGTCATCAGCTCAACTAGAAAAATAAACTGAAATATAATGCAGCACATAAAAATTGAACAAACTGTAAATATAATTATAAAACATGAAATAAATAAATCAATCAGTCATTTATAGGAAGTCTGACCAGTTTATGTATTGGTCTTTTCATTTAACCTGACGCGGTTTTTGACTGACCTTACTCTTTGGTCAGTTTCCTTGTAAGTGCAAATTACTTTTGCCATCTTCCACTTAAGTTGGCGGCCAGTTCTCATCCATCAAGGAATAATCAATAGCACCAAGTCATTCACACGTAAATCGGCACTGGAAAGTTTCCACTTGTTGCGCACTTGCAACTGAGTCAAGTAGTCTTTTGACCACGATTTCCAAAACGTTTGGGAAATTTGTGTGATTAATTTCCACCGTTCACGGATGGGAATTTTCTCATTTGTAACATCAGGCTCAGGAAAACCTTTTAATTCGGACCCGATAATAAAGTGACCCGGTGTAATGACAGAAAATCATTTGGGTCCTCAGAAGCAGCCACGAGAGTTAAATATGGCTTCAACTTAACTCTCGTCCTTTAGTGGCTGCTTCTGAGTCAAGTATTCTCCACTAGACACGTTAAAAATTCTTTTTGTGAGAGGATCTGCGATCTTTTAGCTCGTCTCATGTGGAACTTCATCGATTTAACGGCAGCCTCCCACAGGCCTCCGAAATGAGGTGCTGATGGAACATTCATTATCCATTTAACGCCTTCGTTGATCAAGTAAGTACCAAGTGCCTCTATCGTACACGTTTTTAAGTAATTTTTTGCACCGATAAAGTTCGTTCCACAATCACTGAATATTTCAGCTGGCTTTCCTCGTCCGATGAACCAGAGCTGCAATACATACCTGAGCAATAAGATCACTAACAAGTTCTAAATGGACAGCTTTCGTTGCAAAGCATACAAACACACACACGTATACTTTCAGTGGTTTAACTCCTCTATTACCCCGTCTACGGCTGATCAAGAATCACGTCTAGGGCTGATCAAGAATGGTCCTGAAAAGTCAGTTATGAAATGGTCTTCCGGTATTCACTCTCGCAGAAGATAGGTCAGCCATCATTTGTTTCGAAAACTCAGAGCAAAATCTAGCACAGATAAACGCACTTCTTATTTCTCTGTGTATTGCAGGTTTTGTTCCTGTAATCCAATACTTTTGTTTCATCGCAGAGTTAACTAATTGTACTCCATCATGCATATAATTAAGATGATAAAATCTCACTAATAATTTTGTAACAGGATGATTCTTAGGCAATACTATTTGATGTTTCCCAGACTCTGGTAAGCTGGCATTTCTTAAACGTCCTCTCCGACACGTAGTATGCCACTGTTGTCTAAACGGATTTAAAAAAAATTAAAGAACTTTTCTTTAACGCTCTCGATTTCTCTAAAGTAGATATTTCCTTTTTATACTCAGTTTTTAGGACTGGTTTGATTATAATATCATGCGCTTCTTTTAGTTCACTTGTTTCTAAGAAGGGAGTTAAAGTCCTATTCTCCCTCACACTTCTTATAAACCTTAAACACCAAGCGACAACTCTATGGAACTTGCTCCAAACTGAAAATTTATTCAAAAGCTGCTCAACTAATTCCAACTGAACTACAAAATATTTGACAGAATTTTTTCTCTGCTCTCTTTGTATTTCCGCACTGTCTACATTTGGTAACCCTCTAACCCACTGTTTAGGCCAACTCTCAAAATTTTTCCGAAGCCAAACTGACCACCATTTCCATTAAGTATCAACTTCTTTCGTTCCCTGCGTCATCTTAGCAGCATTCAATTTTTGATGGGATTATTTGGATTATTATAAAGCATGCGATTAATATTTGTTTAAAAGGAGAGACGGCTTTATGGAGAAAAAAGAACATTTTAAAAAATGCCCACTAACGGCAGGGCGATAAATTCGTTGAACACTAATAGCTCGGTCCGAGGTTCCAATCCCGGCAAACGGGCTGGCTGCATGGGGTTTTCATCATTTACCCCCTCTGTAATGTATTACGAACCAATTTCCTTTAGAAAGTGCTCAGCGAAGGCATCCCTCATCTTAGGAAGATAGCCCTAGAATGCTTTGCTGTAAACGTATAGACCAAACCAAATCAAGCCTTTTCAGAGAAACTGCTTGCATTCAGGTTCAGAATATTCTTTCCACACACACAAATTATTAAGTAGATGAATAATACCGTTCTAAAGTTTTTGAAATTGTTTACATTTTCCATAGCAAGTTCATGGTTGACAACATGGACCATCTATGGACATGGTTCATGGTTGACAACAGGGTTGACAACTTCTTTGATTTGGCAAGTCTTTCAGCACTTGTGGGAATTTTAAATGAATGCGGTTTACATGAGTACGGTGCATCATATTCAACAAAAATATCATCGAATACAGGACAGGAGTTTCTCTATGCCCATTCTGTACTGACTGAAGGAATAAATCCTAGATTGCATTAGTATTCAACCATTAGAATTTATAATTAATGCTTATTAGCGCATTTCTAAACTTGCAGTCCTAAGAATTAAATACTATATTTTACTTTATATGTATTATTTAAAATAATATATATATATATATATATATAATGCAATATAATATGTTATATTTTGATTTCATGTTACAGAAGAATACCGGTGTTATTTGTTTGTCTATGCCATGCGCCATTGTTCCCTACAACTTCGATGGACGAGTAATAGACATAATTAAAGGATCGTAAGTCTTTACTAAAATTTTCACATTACGTCACACACTGTGTGATAAGTGAGTTTAATGAAAATATTACACTTATGACCTAGTAATATATCAGTTTTCAAAACATTTAGCTTTACAAAACCACTATCTAATTGGTATCGTCTGAAGTCGTAACTCATGGAAACAAAATCTGGTGATTTTTGAAGCTCTAGAAATATATACTCCTTCATATTTTTAGACGCTGGATGTTCGTTTTAATTTTATTGGACGAAAAAGTACAAATGAACTTAGTTTTCCGATAATTTTAATCATTAGTTAGATGTCGAGTCAATATCTTTATTGAGACATAGAATACTTGATTTTCATCGTAAACTTATTGATTTTCATTGTAAATAATGTAAGATATATTTATCTCTCAGGCAAAGTAAACAATAATTGACTTTCTAGTCGAAGAAGATCCTGAGGAATAAAACTTCTGATCTGATAAGTATCGTAGATGATAATGCTTTAAAGAAAAGTGAGAACCTGACATGTAATAATTTAATAATAAAGTATCAGACTGCGTTCTAATCGTCAATTTTGATGAAATTTTTCAAAAGTGCTTTTTTATACTTTATTTAAAGCCTATACATTAAGCTTATCAAACATACTTTTATTTTATCTCTCCCATCGTTAAAAGCAGAGTTGTTCTAGGCCGTAAACCGGAAGTTTCTGCTTAAGAAGCCGGAAGCTGGTGTTTAAAGGTATACAGACTATTCTAAATAACTTTAAACTGAGAAATTTTCATTTGTACACTTTTGGTGATGTTCAAAAGATAATTTTGAACCTTTCTATTTGTTATTAATTGCTGGGGAACAAGATTAGTTTTGAAATTTAATTTTCATACTTGGCAACATTTTTTTTCTTCTGTTTGTGTTTGCATTACAATTAATCTATTTTTAAAAAACCTTGATTTTTTTCCAACTTTTCTGTTACGAAAACCACTGTAACTTAAAAAATTACTATAGTAATTTTGGGAAACTTTCCACAAATATTCTTTGGAATGCTTTCAGTTGAACGAACTAAACGTTCAGGTGTGTGTACATATCTAAAATGTTTCAGGTCATTTTGTAAACGAAAAGAGATAAATTTCTTAAAATATAGCTAGTGAATGTGCTCAAAGAGCTATATTTAATAGATATTTTAATTTATTCATTAGATTTTAGTCTATTTAATGCCTTATACCTTAATAAGTGAAAAATATAAAAGTAAAATATTGATAAATATTTTTGTGGGAAGATATCTGGTAATTCTGAAATTTAATATATTTTAACCAAAACTGTAAAAATAATAATAATAAAATTTTAGTTTAATAATACGTTTATCGTCTGCCTTTATCATTTTGAATAGTATTCTGTTAAATAACACCAATAATAGTATTCCAGGAGTACGGGCTGGTAATAAATTTAATGCACGAAGGTCAGATGGTAGGTTAATCAACTTTATTTAATCAAAAGAAACAGGTCAAAGTTCTGGAATTTTCCGCAGAAATTCTCGTGCCGGTGTTCACAGTATTACAGAGTAAAATAAGTAGTTACATTTCTGACTACTAAGAACGTTAAACACAAGGAAATGCAAAGCTAATTTAAAGAAAATGTCAACCCGGAGACATCTTAGTTCACGGTGAACTAACAACTCGCAACAACAATAACTAAACAACTGATACCAGATGCTCCAGCACTATGTAGTTTTCAACCGGAAGCCGAGATATTTCTGGTACTTTTTTCTTCTCGAAATTACCAAAAAGCAATGAGAGGGTCGAATTACGGTTACAGCTAACACTATGATCAATTACATTTATTCATTTACAATAGGCCCACCAGCGGCCGAGCGGTAAAAGACGCTGAACACTGGTAGTTCGGTCCGAGGTTCGAATCCCCCGAACGAGCTGGCTGCATAGGCGTTTTCGTGGTTTTCCCCATGTGTAACGTGTGTACGAGCCAGTTTCCCTTAGAAAGTCCTCCACGAAGGCATCCCTCCCTTTAGGCAGATAGCCTTCGTGAGCTTTGCCATAATTGAATAATCCAATCCATTTACAATACTTATTTCAGTGATACAGGTACCGGACAAAAATGTCGCCAAATGTTCGACAAGTTTGGCGACCTTTGGCGATTATTCCCCGAATTTAGCGACAAAATAAGTCACCAAAAACGTTGTCAGCTTGGTGATGTCTCGCCAAATTACCGAGATACCTATTTACAACAATGCTAAATAGACTTGCCCTTATTTCTTACTTTTCCGACATAACTTCTGTTTTTAGATTTTTCGCTTTACGTTATACAGAATCGCATATAACTGCACTAAAATCATCTATCTATGTAAAAAATTCGTAACAATAAATTTATTTGCACTATTTTCCAAGATCTGGGTGTAGAACGTAGTCCGATACCTTAAACTTAGTTCTGACAAACATTCTCTGGCTTGATAGTCTTGGTTTGTCAGATTTAAAATATAAAGAAATGTTGCAAATTTTGTTTCAAGTGATTTAATTTTATTTTTAATAACCTGTATTTTTATCTAAATATCATAAAGTACGATTTCCCAATCAAAGGCATATCTGTATTTCATTCGCTTTATAATGGTTCGTTAAATGCACAGATATATTGCACTCGGCAAAAGCCGAACAAAGTAAACTCTACCTGCAACAGTGCCATTTTTTAGAAAGAAAGCCCTACGAGTCAATCTGGCATTCATGGAAACAATGCGTAATATTTTTATTGGCATATTATTTTTGTAATAAGAAACTGACCATTCAGCATTTTCTCAATAACATTTGCGTTATATTTTACAGTTGCGATTGCCCAGATGATAAGAAGTGCATCTATTTCAAAGAAACTGTGTTCAACTGTACGGATCTGGATATCTGCGGGCCTTCGTACGGTAACCATGCTGCACGTGAATATCGTTGCTTTGCCCCCTGCACCTTTAACTAGAGAAAGTCTGTAACTGAAGATATCCCGGGCTGGAAAAAAGCCCCAATATCGATAAAGAACACAATACATATTTTCTGTTTTTCAGACTGTTCTCATTGAATAATTCTGCCTAATCTTATTTTGAATTTACGGTTTAGTGTTATTCAAACATTGTAAAACTAATTTTCATCATTTCAATTTGAATAAAGTGTTCTATTAAATTTACCAATATTTTTCAAAGGAATTCAACAGAAAACTAATATCTAACTATACTGATAAATTATACTTCCTTTCTGTTATGGATGCTTAAAACAACCTCTTCTTTTTTTACGTGGAAGAAATTTATTACGCAAGCGCAATTAATTTTTTTTACAAGACATAACATTTTTATTAATTGGAACATATTTGAAGGAAATTCTAAATTAAAAAAATAATTGTTATTTTCCAGCATAGGATTATTGTTAGTCTTTGTTTGATTCGAAACTTTCATACGAAGGTAGACAATTGGGTTGCACCATTTAGTTCCTCAAGTGCGCTAAAACCACGTACTCTGCTAATTTGACCTGCGTTCTCTAATCTCTTTGTTTGCGATTATTGTGAGTGCCGATGGGTGAGAGTTATCCTTAATGAAGCATGAAATAAAATTTCCTGTGGCAAAGTGTTTATAAGCCCACAATGTATATAAAATGTGCAATAATTAAACAAAAAAAAATTAAACGATATTACAGAGTTGTTTCCATGTCATCAAATATTTCGATAACAAATTTTAGTACACTTAATAATCGCAGAGACTTCAAACCGTATGCATCTTCTATATTTATGGCAGTACTTAATAACGGAATACTTAAAATACTCATTTCCTTTATGCAGTTCTGAGATAAAGTTTATAATACACGCAGAAACAAAAAAACATATGTGTTAGACAAAAGATATATTGACAGCTTCTGAGAAAATCAGGTGATAAATCAAGACAAAAACACATCATGTGAAGATTGCAGATGCAATATAACGAATACATTCCAAAATATGTACTACGTTCAAAGTAACCGAACATGTCACCTTACCTGATCTCTTCGTGCCAGAAGATTGAGTCCCTAAATACGAAAAACAAACTCCTTCGGTAAATAAAAATACATTCATATTTAAATCTAATATTTTCATAGCACAAAATAATTACGAACTGATAAATTGAGCAAGCAGGTTATAAGGTATTTCTCCCGCCTTCTTAGAGTGCCTTCGTGGTGTAGTGGTCTGCACGCTAAGCTGGTATTTCAGAGGTCCGTGGCTCGATTCCCGGTGAAGGCGGTTGCTAAATTTTTCATCTTGCCTGCTTCCAAAAATACCTAACGTCTCTACATTGGCACCCGCACTAAAAGTGTGTTCGATGATGATTCTCCACACCCAGGATTTCGCAACTGGGCCCCCTACAACCCCAGTCTCTCTTTAAAAGGGGGAGTATATAAGGTATTTCACCTGCCTTCTTAGCGTGCTTTCGTGGTGTAGTAGTCTGCAAGCTGAACTGATAAATTAAGCTAGCAGGTTATAAGGTACTTCTCCCGCCTTCTTCGAGTGCCTTCGTGGTGTAGTGGTCTGCACGCTAAGCTGGTATTTCAGAGGTCCGTGGTTCGATTCCCGGCCAAGGCAGTTGCTAAATATATCATCTTGCCTGCTTCAAAAAATACCTAATGTCTCTACAAGATTACCAACATATTAACCATTGTTAGTCCAAATGGGCAATTTGCCCGGAAGGAGTATTAATTTCATTTTGGCGTTTTGCGTCGAAAACTTTAAAGGCTGTATCACTTTTCAAATCGTTGCCACCCTATATTGTCGCCCTGTCTTATATTTAAAGAAATTAAATAATGGGGAAACTGCATAAATGTATGTATGTTTCTCTCATTGTGATAAAACAACGTTACTTACAACCCTCAAAATTTGAATAAACTAATCTTCCACAGAATATGGGCATGTGGAAGCCCTAATTTGAATTTGAAATTAGGTTTATTACCGATTTCAGATTTTGTAACACTTCAACGAATTTTTGATTAACAAACTAAACGTTTTCACAGGGAGCAATAGCAACACGGTACCAAAAAAAAAAAAAAAAAAAAAAAAAAAAAAAAAAAAAAAAAAATTTCTCCAGCGCGAGATTGTGTTTCGGAAATTCTAAATATATGCTCATTTTAAAATTAATTTGCGATATTGCTGTTAAAGTGAAATTTATAATTTGTGTACGTAGAACATGATATTCAATAAATAAAGGTAACACACTAAACGTTAAAAAAACGCCCCTTTCGACATGATTTAAAATCTGAAACCTTCTAGATTTTTTTTTAAATTTTAAGTTCTGTTTTCTGATGATTTCTGTTATTATATGACACATTTTTGTTTGACTTGTGAGTGTTTGGGTTACTGTTAACACTACAAATAGCTCTGTGTTTTCTAATTATTAGGTACTACTGACTTTCCTTAAACGAATTATCGTGATGGAAAAGATATTTCTAGGTCCATTTAGACAAGAACTTAATAACACTTAATTTAAAATTTGAACTAATCTCTACTTTAACATTAAAAATACTAGTAACAGTACACTTTACCATGCTAAAATTCCTGCTTAAGTTTTACTCTAAGAGAAACCACGATTCTAATTTTAATCGTATTTTACGTCTGGACAGGACTTTTCCGAAAACAGCTACTCCAGCCAGGATTAAACATTATAGTCACTGCTTTCTCGTGTTTCCATCCTGCAGCTTAGTTTCACCAAACCTAGGCTCAGACATAGGCTCAGACAAGGCCATCTTGATGAGTGAAGACCGAAGCTAATGTTTGAGGATGTCACAGCCGGGGACGGTCAGCGAAAATGATCTTGAGGCGTTGTGCTTTTTTTCCCGCTAGTATATGAGAAACAAATCTACTTTTCTCTTCCTATAAGCATTATTAACAAAAAAATACTGAAGAACTGAGTACTAATCTTTTACACTTGGACGATGGCATTCCATCTGAGGGGACTTTCTCAAATAATATTAGTTTTTGCTTGCTAATCAGTACCATTCTTTACAATTTCTTTACAATACTGCATTTTTGTTACCTAACACTATGTGCAGTTTAATAGCATTAAACACTGCAAAATCAAATAGTTCTACACCGGTTAAAATGAATATTATACCAAATTTTTAACCGCAGTGTGACTGGCATTCAAAATTAAATCATAACTAAATATTTTCACTTGTTTCCAAGCAATACAACAAACTACGTGTTTGCTTTCTCATATAAAAAACATTACCCAGAAATTCGAAAGCTTCAAAAATTTATATTTCAGGTTTAGTCAAAACATTGACATTCAACAGAAAGTTATGCTTCTCAGATAAGTTTTCTTATTATTTACATATAATTGTTTATATCAGATAATTTTAAGATAAAAATATGTTATCTGAGAACACAGCAATATAAACGCATTCCATTTCTTTATTATATGATGTACACATTTTTCATTCATATAAAATGAATACAAAATCTCAGGCCATTATTTTAGATGTAACTTCATAATATACAGTACAGATTACTCTAATTCCTTCAAATTTTGACATTCACAAATACGTGCTGAAACACACACACATACATGCATATATAATGTTTTCCAAAATAGTAAATACACCTATATTATTAAACAAATTAAAATCTAATATACTTATCACTTCATACTGCATATAAAAATAAAAACACTCTCCAGTTTTTTATCATTGAATAATTTTCACTAAATATAAAAATTTAAAGCTTATTTGGATAGTAATTTGACTTGCATCCCGGAACGCAACATTTTCGAGGCATCTATAAAATTTCAATTAATACTGTATTATGCACCTTAATTAAATAATTACTAAAGGAAGAATTACTTAATTTTGTATAATTAATATGCTGTAGACTATAATCATTAATGCACTCCTATTTAAGCTTAGTGAATGTACAAAATATGTGTAGAAGCTCGAGCTCAATATTATTAATCACAAGGAATTATTCTGATAAAGCATTATGGGATTCATGGATTCGTGTTTGATACATAGTTTGAAAATGGAAGATACAAGAGAAATTTACTAGATTGTTATAATATTTAACATGAGTGTTATGGCATATGTAATAAATATGTATTAGAACATGAATAAAAATGGGGGGAGGTATTTATCATATAAAATATTTGTTTTGTATCACGAACTATAAGAAGCACAGGTCAAACAGAATGAATTAAAGGAAAACATTAAAGTGAGCTAGTAAATAAACTTAACTTTCGATACATCTTGTTAAAATTAAATTTACTGTAATTAGAGAATAGTTAATGCAACATAATTTCTAGATTAATGTTGTTTCTTCACGTTAAAACCTATGTTAATGTTATTTTTTATATCTGACTTCGAATCTTGATTTTCTGAATAACACAAACCTTGTCCAAACTTAAAGGTTTATTCAACTAATTTCCAAAATGATGATGACTTAACATCATGAACAAACTTAACATCATGAACAAACTTAACATCATGAACAAACTTAATATCATGAACAAACTTAACATTATGAACAAACTTAACATCTTAGGTGTAAAAATACTCGCACATTCAAATTCCTAGGAATGCCTTGAACTGTCAGCTGTTCGGGGAGTGAGGAAAAGAACACATCTTATACGGACAAAAATCCGTCTGGTCCCTCTGGCATAACTCTCCATTTAAGTTGAACTGGACTCAAAAACGCCTGACTGGAACTGGACTGGACTGGACTGGATTGGAAACCATCATCCCCTCAAATCTCCTCTGGGCAGGTCTGCACTGCTTCGAACTGAAAATGAACTACGCCGCTACCAAGAAAAGCACCACCTTTTATTGATGGCAGTTGCAGTTACTACAGACGATTATGCAAATATTTAACAGTTAATTTTACGCTCTGTTTACACTCATACTCAGAAGATGGCTCTAGTGCGATTGCCCTCGCTCGTGAAGTCAGATCAGGGAAGAACCCTTTTGGATTCGGCCTTCTCCCATCGATCAGACTGGACGTTCTTCAGCAATCAACTCCAGACGGCTCAGAAATCAGATCGCTATCCTAGTTACTAACTATCATCCCTACGGTAATTTACATCCGTACGGTTGTTTCTGTTATCTGAATAACCATCTGGAGGGAAAGATCTGCGTAACTAAATAAGAAGCGATAGAAAAGATGCAATTTAA